AAAACAATTTGAGACATTTCAACCTCTCCTCGTATGACAATCCCTTCATCCCAGGCACCATTCTAGTAACCCTTCTCTCAACCTTTTCCAACAATTCAATGTCTTTCCTATATCATATATGCAAATATTTCAAACTGTCTACAGTCCCTTGGCACTTAAATTGTTTTTTCCACTTTAAGAGAAAGCAAACATTATGAACCACAAATTCCCATAAATCTTCCTGTGTGAAACAAGATAAAAACCTTTTGTTTCCTGCCTAACCATCACTAAAATGATTAATTTGTTGTATATATGACAAGGTATTTTGATTCAGAACTTGTTTACCTACAATCTATGCAAAAAAGTGGTTTTAAGTTAAATATTTTCAAGTTTTTTCTTTATTCCTGAAGAACATCAGAAGAAAGTATTTTGCCAATTTCAAGGTGAAGAAAACTTTGGATGAATAACTCAATTCAGTGACAGAGGTGGGAGTATGGCAGTGTAAGCTGCTGAGTGAAGAGAGGAAAAAATTTTTTGCAGTTTACATTTTAACAGTCACACTACAAACATAAAACAGTTGATGTGTTTGGAGGAAAATGAATTTTCACAATAAGAAGGATAACAATACTTAAGATCAACAATATCCTTTGCAAGGCCAACACTGATTTGGAATTACTGATTATCCACATCAAACAACTTTCACCAACACTGAATAACATGCAGTCATATAAATTATAAATTTTTTTAATATGTACTGTATTTTGTTTTTTACTCTTTCACTTTCCACGTGTTTTAGTTTTGATTAAATTATTGTTGTTGCAGCTATGTATTTCAGTTATTTACTTATGAATGGTGTAAATCTTTTATTTTGCATTAGATACTGAAGAAGGAATTTGTATAATTCTGGAACATTTATCCATGTCTCCTGTTATAAATAAACAATGTTGTTTATTGTAAGTATTGTTATCCTTTTTGTTGTGAAACATAAAACAAATTATTACAACTTACAGAAACACAAACTATGCACATTAATTTCAAAAAAAGCTTTTAATCATACACAATATGCACATACAAGTTTAAAACAAATCACCAAACAAAGGAACAGGTTATACACAAAAGCCTTCTGCTCCTATTGCTTTAAAACCAAAATTAAAAAGTCCCTATTGAGGCAATTTATAAATTATAAAGTGCAAATAGATTTTATACTAATAACAGAAGGTATTTCTTTATACAGAGTGATGAGTAACTGGAATCAATTGCCATGTTGTTGGAGCTAAGTCTCTACAATCATTCAAGAAACAGTTTAGTGAGATTCTTGTATCAACAATCACATGAGCAAGATAAGCTAAATGACTTCTCATTTTTAACCTTTATGTTTTTATTTGGCAGTCTTAAAATAGTCTATAACTGAGGTTATCCTTGGCTTTTTGGATTTTGCTGAACTGTCTGACAACTCCTCAGCACTTGATGAAGGTAACCCTGCTTGTTCAGTACTCCTTTTCCCAAAATTCTCACTTTCACTCCTTGCAGCTGTATCTGACAAGCTGACAGTGGACTACACTACAGAGATAATTTTCTCTTGTATGTTTCTGTCATTATTTTTCTGGACTTTACTGAAGGGTTTCTTGCTGATCTTCATTAATTTTCTGGTTGCTGGCAATCTTGCTTTTGAAATGTCTGTCTAAATTTTGTTTTTTTCTTGCTTTCCTTTTTCTAGCCAAGATCTCTTGAATGGACTTATAAGCATGGTGTTTTGGAACTTGGAAGGATTTGGTTACCTAGCTGTGCTGAGAGTAATTTGACATGTCATTTGTCTTTTGTACAGTGATCACTGAAGACCTTTTCAGACAGTGGTTACAAACCATACAAAAACAATCAGAACAATACAGAAACATTAGTTTTCAATACCCAAGCTACATACAACCTATTCAAAGAATATCTTTCTTCACACCACTCCCAATTACATTTATTTTTCAGAGATTTATCAATGAGGACTGTATCATATTTGCATTTCAAATCCAGCACAAGAAAAACAGACACAAAGCCAATGATAATTTGGGTATAAAAGAGGTAAAATAAAGGAGAATCAACAAAAAATTAGGTTTGTCACCTAGTGGTGTATATAAAACAACAAAACAATTGTTTTATACAATTTATACATATATGGTAAAATACATCCCTCTTAATTGTTCATGGTTCCCCCAAAATTGCCAAGACAAAAAACCACTTACAGACATAAAACTCCCACCCATGTCAATAATGTGATATTTTTTACACATATGAACTTGATCTAACTAGTGAAAACTGTGTATAAAGCCTAATCCCATGGAGACAGACTGAATGGAGTTAAGCATATCCCTAACATGAATTAAGTTCACTATTTACTACTCTCAACCCAAATCAACACCTACTTACTAAGCCCAAATTACACATGAAACATTATAGTCTCACATTATAATACAAATTGTAAATCAAGTAACTTTTGTTTTCAGTAAAGATAATTAATTATATACATAAATAACGTAAAACAGAAATAAAGTACAGAAAGTATACTGCACTTTAGATGAAAAGCATCCATGATGTCAGTTTTGTTAAAGGTATAAAGGGTTCAATTACTAACATTATCCAGAATTGATACTGAACAAGATTTCAAATGACATACTATGAACAAAACTGAAAAAAGAAACAGAGGAATAGTGTGGGTAACCACAGAAGTGATGTACCATGTTTTAGATCTGAAAGTGACACACATGTGGACATTGAATTGTTTAAAAGGGTTCAAAAAATCAAAGAGAGCTATTAGGATTATACCTGGGTTGAACAGGTTGCTATAAGAGGGGAGGTCAAGATCTCTCAAATTGTTTTATGTTGAGAAAAATGTTGTAGGAAATCTGACTGAGGTGTTCAAAACCAGGGGGTAATACAAGCTACATCTGAGAGCAGTTACTGCTTTTGAGCACTATGTTTTTGGCCCCCAATTTTAAAAAAATCATGAAAAAGTTAGGCCAAAAATCAAAATAGCAAAAAATAATGATAATAACAAAAACAAACAAAAATTTTGCTTAGACTTTCTCTATAAACTTTTGCTATTTTAACTTACCTCAAAACTAATCTGACTAGGTGCACTTAAATATAACAATATTTAAAAGTATCTATTAGGGTTGTTGTTTTTTATCAAAAGTATCAGTTTTTTCACCCTACAACCCCACCTCAAATTAATTTTCTGTATTACCACCTGATGACTATTAATGGAATCAATAGTATTGATGCATCATATTTTTCATATTCAATAGTGAGAATGGTAATCAGGGGGTGCAATATAAATTTTGGCATGGTAGGAGTCATCATCTTTAGCTTCAACTGTATTACTTTTCTAACAAGGTGGTCGGCCTTGGGAACGTTATAGATGCAATAAATTTATGGTGGTTTAAGGAAAGGCTTGATAAATACTTAACTTATAAGTGCTGATTTTGAGAGTGTCCTTTTTTCTTTTTAAGTTAGTACAGTTTAGTGGACCAAACAGCCACAATGGACCAACAGACACCTTGTTGTCTTAAATGTTGTATGTTAAATGCCATTAAAGGATCAAAAATGCTTTGGTTAACAGTGAAATATCATATTATAGGAAGAAGCATTGCTTTTACTGCTTTTTGTTAATAAGATATATTTTACATGATTTTCAGTTAGAAGCAGTGACAAGAAAAAGTATTCATATGCTAAGTTTAAAAAAAAAATCCACTAAAATATCTGGAATATTTAATGTATAACTCAAACTGAAAACCTATAGCCTTAAAATCGTTTCACTCCAGTTTCAGTAAACAAAAATCTGTACATACAATATTTTATGATGACCTAAGATTTGTGCTTCTCACCAATATGGCTCTAAAAAATTCTTATTAATGATGATGATGTAATTTATTGAAAAATTTGCTGCATTATATTACAGTACATGCATCATTTCAAAAACTTAATTATAAAGATAAACAATATTTATACAAATTATACATGAATGATCAATAAGCTATACCAGACAATGTCTTATAATCCTTTGGATATAACATGTCTTAATTTAACAAAATATGTTAAGAAAATTCTCAATAGATGGCACTAGACAATACAAATATCCTAATACTTAAAAAAAAATTAAGTGGACTTGATTTCAGCAATCCCACTCACTAGCTTATTTTTTCTTTAAATTAATTGATAATGTAGGGATTATTTTAAGTAATAATACTAATACTTATAATACTAATATTTACTGATACATTTAATGTAAGTCTCTCTTAAAATCTTAAGACATTTAGAATTATATTTAATGTTGATTACAGTGAAGCACATGCAACCTATGAAAGTTGGCATACATCCAGGTGTTTTCCAAAGGAGACTTAACATTAAGTACTTTGCTCTATCAGTACTCTTACACTAATTCATGTTCTTATACAAAACAATAACTAGAAAGGGAATCAGGTTATCAATATTATGAATTTTCTACCCTGTACACAAATAAAATAACTACAAGTTGTGAAAACTGATATAAAGTATAACAATCCTCAACATTTTCTGATAATATTTCTGTCATTTTAGGCTAAACAAAAAATAAAACATTTGAATTTTCAAAAAATATCTTGGACACGTACAACAAAAATCAATTAATTAAAACCTCTTAAATTACAACGAACAAGACATAGCATTAGCAATCAATAATTTCATAGCATAATTAAGCTTGTGGAATAGGAGTTACAACTTGTATAGACTAAATATAACTTTACATGTAAACCCTTATGAACAAGTTATAGACTGTGGCTGTTCCGAGTCAATGTTATCATTCATAGTATTACCGCTAAGCATTACTAATACTATACTAGTAATAGTATTAATAGTAATAGTCCATGGTGTAAACTGTAATTATAAATTATGATATTAAAAATTACATTTCTGAGATACGGTGAAACTAAAATAATTCAAACTAAACAAGATTTTTCCACTTTAAAGTAGCCTACATCATATCATTTACAACTTACCCTTCCTACTCATTAGAAAACCTCATATTCTCAACGAATATAGCGAAAAGCTTGTTACGTAAAGAGCCATAGGCTTCTCCGTCATTTTGTGTGTATCTTTAGGACGCCCTCTAGTGAAATAAAAGGTAATTATAATTCTCATAATACATTAGATTACACTTATTACATTTTTTGACACTACATTGTTAATCCAGTTCCTTAAGTTTTTTCAAAACACTAATCAAAATCGGATTTTGTTGAATAAGTATACTACCCTTACACTGTGCCTTCATTAATTGGTTCTATGAGTGGAAAAGTTGAAAGATAACAAATTATACTTTTATTTGCCATTCATTTAGTATTCCTTCTACGGTTTCGTTCAACTATAATTTTTTTAGTTATATTAATGCTCTAACTTACCTTCTAGCTAAGTAATGTTGAATTTGTATATGTCTGTATTATTAAAATGACACAAGCTTTTTCTAGCGGGGACGTACGTATAGATACTAATGTTGTGAAAGATTATGTAAATTCGATAATCACAAGAGATGTAACTTCTTTGTCTAACCACTAAATAAAAACCCTTCCTTGATCTTAATCACGATAGTTCACGAGATATACATAGTTAGAATGAGTTATTGGGAAGTGTTACTCGTTTTTATCGTTTTACAAAACAAAAATAATAATGAAAAGCAGAAAAAAGCTTCATGCTTAAGTAAACTTGTTTTTTAAATGGCACACATATTCATGCAAAAATATCAGTTTTTATGAAATGCAAAGATGTAAACCAAAATGAACCTCGTGAAACAAAGAAAAATAATATATACAGATTTAAACAGGCATGTCATGATGTACCATAATGGAAGATATTAAAAGAAACTAACACAGAGTACGTTGGTCAAAATCACATTATGAAAACACCCTTTAACACAGATTAATCAGTTTTTTCGCAAAAGAATACTCGTTAATACAGATAATAGATTTATCGTAATAGTACAAAATTCATTATACCCAACTGAATTCAATGTACTAATTGGAATGTAATAATTCATGTAAAAAAGTACATATAAAAAAATTCCAAGTAACTTAAAAACAATAGATACAAAATTCATATTATATATATCGCATTACGTTATCAGTCCAGGCTGTCAACTTATTGTCATAACGGATATTGTCTGTGGTGATAGTACCCAAATGCGTTGGGGATATCCCATCTAACAGACAAAATCCAAACGCTGATGTCAATCTTGTCAGCCACCAATGAAAATCATTAGAAAAAAAATCAATCAAATAAAGGTAAGAAACTGTGTGCTTCCACTCACAACGTCTCAGCTTCTACTGCCTTTCACTGTCTATTGCTAGTTGTGGGAGAGTAGTTACCCTTAAATTTCTTAAGGTATAAATGAAATGAAACAACCCTAATATTTCTACTAATTAAACTTCCAACCTCCTCGATTTCTCCTGAAGATTTATTAAAGTATATTACGGAAACGCTGAGACAAGCCCAGCTACTTGAAGTTAATTTTTCCTTGCCAGTTATAATGAATAAAGTTACTTGAAAAATTGCCATTAGCTACTAAACAAAAGTAACTAACTCCCTTTTTATTTTATTTTTCTTTTTTATAAGATATTTTCCTTAATCGATAGTTTAGGATCTAAAATATTTTTGTATTTATTAAAAAATAAAATAAGGTATTTCTCTAATTGCCTGTCTTTATAGCCTTTAGCTTTCAGTTTATTTTTTTAATAATAGGAGATTATCCTTTAAAAAAGTATAGTTACTACAGACTATTAAGAACCATTTTAGTTGAGATATAATAATACCTTTTAACATGATACACTGAATAACGCTTTTAGGTGTGGTGGACCAAGAATGGAAACATTAAATTCTCTTTGTTTACCAAAAACAGTCAACCGCACTGTGCCTACTGTAAAAGTAAGGTCCAAACCTAAATACTTAGCATGGACCTAATCATTATTATTGCTTCTTTCTAATTATAAGTTCTGTTGAATATATTAAGTTTGGTGTAAAATTCATATTATTTATAGAAAGTATTTAACAGAAAGTTTAAATGTATAAGTTAGGATTTAAAGTCTGCTTTATAAATAAGTTTTCATAAAAGAACAGATGCAGGATGGCCATATTTGAACAGAAGTTCGTTCCCAGTGGAATACCCACCGTTTGCTTATATACTTGTTCGTTAAAACCAATAACTGCTATAAACACACAAATGGAGTATGTTTTTACATTGAATTCTAGTAAATTTAAATTTGGGTATAGTTATTTCGTTATTTATAAAGTTATAAAAAAAATCATTGAAAACCCCGATTAAATCTTTTAGGTTTATTTTAGTATACAATGTAGTAACGTCATATA